GTGCGAATAGGGCGAAAGTGTGTAAGGGGAGACGGGAATTCGTTCCCAATTTCCACCTACTACCTCCAGCCCCCTTACATGTCTTTCCCCCGCACGAGGCTCGAGACACCCGCTCCTGGCATGGCCGGTAAGAGCAGGTTGGGACCCTTGAAAAGAAAAGAAAAGAAAAATAACAGAAAACAAGCAAAATAGAAAAAAAGGGGGTTCCAACCATCTTCAAGAATAAAATAGAGCACCTTGAAAAATGTGAGTCCATGATCTTTTGTTTTTGAGAATCTCTTCATCCACAATTCATTTTTCCTCTGTTCACTATTTGCCGTGATGCCGACTCGCCGAAGAAGTTATGAGATGACTTGTGCGTCGGTTGACCTCGTAAGTTGCTAAATGATCTAGGAAGTCCTCTACCTACGATCTGGGTTGTTTGTTGCTATAGAGGTCTGGAGAGTTGCATTGGTTTGAGTTAGGTTTGCTTGGGGACAAGCAAACGGTTAAGTGTGGGGGAGTTTGATAGACCGTCATTTACACATGTTTTTACCCCCATTCTTACACCGTTTGAGGTGTTGATTCTCGTGTTTTAGGCCGATTTCACGCTAGGTTGTGCTTGTTTGTGATGTTTCAGGTCCTAGTACGTGAATGAAGGCTTAGGAGCGAGTCTGGGGTCGATTGGACGAAGAACGGACGAATGGCGAGGTTTTTGGGGAGCTGCACGGGCAGACCAGGGAGGCTGCACGGCCGTGCACGTGAGCAATATGGCCTTGCGCCTTATGCCGAGGACACGCACGGGCAACCCCTGAAGCTCGCACGGCCGTGCACCCTGGCCGTGCGAGAGGGCTGAAGTTCGACTAAATGACACGCTGCGTTTTGAGTTGCACGGCCAGAATGGTGATATGCACGGCCGTGCACCCTGGCCGTGCGAGTCGGGATTTCCTGGTTTTAAGCCAAATTCCGAACCAAAGAGGAGGGAGAGCTGGGTTTTGGATCCCAAACACCCAAGGGACGAACCCTAGAGAGAGAGAGCGACTTGGGAACATTCTTGGAGCTATTTTGGAGGATTTCTTCGCCATTGGAGCTCGAGAATCAAGCTTGGAGATGGAGATTGAAGATCTAGATCAGATTTCTGCAGTCTCTCTCTTCTCTATGGAGTAACTTCCCTTCACTTAGGTTTTGAGGAACCTTAGTTCCATGAGTTAGGATCTTTCTTGTATGAAGTTTTGGATGCTATATTGTTTGATTATAATCGAATGATGCATGTTTATTGAGTCAATTGAAGTCTGATCAACTTTTCCTGATTCCTGCTGCAATCTGAGATAGATAGAATCTGATTAGGTTGCTAGAGTCTCATCATTCGATAGTAGGAGACTGGTTATACGAGAGTTAGCCAGTTTACTGCTCTGTACTGGAATCTAATTCCAGTAGTGAATTTCTGTTCTTATTGCTTCAGCTTTCTATCCCGGTGAAGACTAGTCGTCTGCCGGATAGTTAGACTGAGAGGGCTTGGTCAGCTTAAGAGATTCCAAGCTACTGTCGGATCTTCCGCAGTTTAATCAACAGTAAATCAACCAAAATGAATTACAACTTGGACCTAATTGAGGAGCTAGGGGGAATCATACCTAAGTGAGTTCCCAAACTGTAATTAGTAGTTTTACTTAGTTTAGTTAGTAGAGTAGTTTAGTTAATCAATCCTTAATCTAGTTTGCTAGATAATGAACTGAAGCTGAGTAATAGTAACTCTAGAGACCCGTGGATTCGATATTTATTACTTGTGCCACTATACTGCAGTCCCTTTCATTGGTTACACTTGGCCATTGTTAGGTGTTGTGTTTTAGAGCATCATTGGCGCATGGAAATGTTCTCCGGGCTCCTTCCTCCAGACGTCTGCAGCAAGATTACAAGTGTAGCTGTTGACAGCCTATCTCAGAATGAGGATTCTCTTCTCTGGGCTCCGGCTGCCGATGGCAGATTCTCTATGAAGTCGGCGCATGCTTTGCTCACTAAGCATGATCATCAGGCGGATGACGTGATCTGGAAGACGATATGGCGACTTCCTGTTCCGGAGCGGGTTCGAGGCTTTTGTTGGCTGGCAGTTCAGGGGAGGATCGCTACGAATGCCCTCCGTTTTCAGAGGAAAGTGGCAACGTCACCTTGTTGTATGCGTTGCACAGGCCACCCGGAGACGGTGTTACACACAGTGCGAGATTGTACGCCGGCACTTTTATTCTGGTCTAGGCTTGTTCCGCAACAAAAGCAACATGAGTTCTTCAATGCTGGCCATGATGCTTGGTTTCGCAGCAACCTGTTCAGCAAAGAGTCAACTGGCTCGGGCATTAGTTGGCCAGGATTCTTCAGCATGGCCATTTGGTTGTTATGGAAAAATCGAACAACCGCTGCTTTCAAAGGGGCAAGTGCGGCACTTTCAGCTCCTTCTCTTATGCATTCCATCTTAACCAAGAGTAAACTGTGGAATGATTCTTAGCATGCTCCGGAGCTGTTCATCAACCACAAGAAGCAAAATTTTGATCGAGTGGTGGCAGCTATTAGATGGAAGCCACCTATGGAGGGATGGGTTTTGGTCAACACGGACGGTGCCTCGAACGGTACTCCAGGCCCGGCAGGGGCTGGGGGAATCATTCGAGACTCGCTGGGCAACTGGCTGGGTGGATTCGTCGCCAATGTAGGTACGGCTTCAGTGGCCTTAGCGGAGCTTTGGGCTATTGTTTATGGTTTGGAATTGGCATGGAAACTCGGCTTTCGAGTAGTGAAGCTAGAGTCAGATTCACAGTTGGCTATTCAGCTAATTCTGGAGAGGCATGATCACATTCATCCTTACGCAACCCTTCTGAGCCTTATTCGTAGAAAGATTGGCCAGGATTGGTTGATTAGTCTGGCTCATACATACCGAGAAGGGAATAGAGTCGCGGACTGGCTCTCGAAGCACAGTCTCGTCTATCCCTACGGTATGCATGAGCTGGCTAATCCCCCATCAGGCGTTATTTCGATCTGCAGGATGACATTATAGGTGTTACTTTTGAGCGCCGGGTTGTGGCTAGCTCTTCCTCTTCCATCTAATCTCTCCCTGTAACTTTTCTTGTTCTTGGCTGCGGCCTCCTTGCTATGCAAAAAAAATCGAAAGAAACATAATTACCTCTCTCTCTCTCTCTCTCTCTCTATATATATATATATATATATGTGGTGGCTTCTATCGTACCCCGGGTAAAATCCGGGGTATGGCGTACCTTGGGTGATCTTGACCGTACGTGTGATCTCGACGGCTGAGATTAAATTTTATTAAATGATTTATTTTTTCGGAATTTATATTAAATAAAATTACAGGAAGACTCATAGAATTAGTTTTTCTTTCATTTTAGTCCATTGTAAACCAAATCGGGTTGGTTCTGTTTAGTTATTGAATTGACCCAAAATCCAACCACCCTAAGAGAAAGGACACCTACCTTGCCCCACCCGCAGCCCTACCCCTCTCCTCCAAATCCCGACCTTGGACCTTCTCTCTTCTCCATTTTTCTGTTCGAATTGGGAATAACTCTGTTTCCCCCTCTTATTCTTCTTCGTTTTCCCGTTCTCGACTGTTATATTTCCCACCTGTCCTATGATTCCTCCCAATCGATTGTTTGAACCCTAAACTGGCCGAATATCACAGGTAATCTCGGCGTCAAGCTGTGCAAGCATAAGCACCCCCATCCCTTTGAATGAAAACTAATTGTTGCTTGTATGAGTAATTCACTTGTGCAAACAGCTGGGCAGGCGGAGATGATTGCACTGGAGAAGGCAATGAAAGAGGCCATGGTTCCTTCAGGATCTGCTAGGGAGGTGAGAAAGGGATTTTGAATTGAAATTGCCGAAATTGATTTTCGAACTACAATGCTGTGATTTTGGATGGATCTCTGATATGGATGAGGTGTATTGTAGACTGATTTGGGAAGAGAGGTCTCGTTGTTTGAAGCGGAGGCTACAGCTGTGGAGTCTGTATTTCAAAAATTCTATTCCTACATTTTTTTACACTGAAACCGTGGGGTTTGAACTAAACAGAGACCCCGACAGGCCCAGTCCTGCTTCTATCTTCGTGGTTAACTTTGACAAGGTAAGGGTTTTGACGAATTGTGGTGACGGTTTTATGCATTGATGATAAACCAAGTTAATGTGTATCGGAATTAGGTGCTTAAGATGTCCCTTTCCAGGATCATGTGTGTTTTTGGTCCATTCTTTCAGTAGTCTTTGACATGATCTGTTGAGGAGCTTGTTTGGTGGTTTTCTTTTTCCAGGTCAGAATGGATCCGAGGAACAAGGAAGTCGATCTTGATAGTTTCATGTTTAGCACAGTTGATAAGTTTTCCGAAGAAGATATGAAGAAACAAGAAGATATGAAGCAACTCAAGTTTGGTTGAGCTCAGACAAATATTATTTGAATGGACGATATGTGACCTCTTTCATTTTAGTCACCACGAGAAATGACTATAAGTTCCTAATTCAATTTTAGCCACATTCTTCACTAGTGATGCTCCAGACAAATATTATTTTAATCATGTTTCGGGTTCTTCCATCTTTATTGAAAAATGGTTTAAGGGTCCACTTGATTGAGCTGGTTGTTGGACGATCCTCCAGCAAATTTTGATGGGTTACTTCGTGAAGACGTGATGGGAATAAGTTTCCAGAGGCAAGTAATCTGGCCAGTTTATCTCTATTAGTTTTTATGCGAATCTCAGAGGTGGCTGTTTCTGTTGCTGCTATTTTGGCTATCTGTCTGCAATGTGAGATTACTGTAGCGGTTCCATTTCTAATTGGCAAACTAGCCTCTGGCTGTGTACTTGTGTTTATTCGGCTGATTTCCTAGCCTCCCTCTAATAAATAAAAAAGCACACCAAAACTTGCAATCTATCCGCCAAAAAATAAACGTGTCCTTAAATCATTACCATAAAGAGGGCATTCGTTGGAAAGGAAGAAACAAAACTAAATGCTAAAATGTTTTAGCAGAACACACTATGCGACTAGATATCCTTGAGCCCTGAATTCGCCTCTTCTGGGAAGCTGCTTTCCTGAATTAGCCTCTTCTGGGAACCTGCTTTCCTCTCTTGGGAAGCTATTTTGTACTCAAGTGTCTGAGCTTCAAACCTAGGCGCATTCTGATTTGCTTTCTTGAGCACCTTGTGTCTTATGTAATTGGTAGGCTCTTTGACTAGGTACAATGCCACCTGCATTCTTCTCAAATGATTGCATGGTTGTAAGGACAGAAAATATAACGTATTAATACAATAGTTGACATAGTTTTTTTAATGTGCTCGTAGAAATAAATGGGCCTAGGTAGTAGGTGATTTCTTACCCAAATATAATAGTCATCATCTCATGTTGATCCCATCATCCACACACAAACCCAGATCCCACTATCATTCCTGTTTAGAAAGATGCAGTACGTAAGACACAAATATTTTATTTTTCTAGTGAAATTATGACCAAATATACATTCTTACTTGTGTCGTTGTGTAGGAACTTCAGGAGTGGTCAAAGAAAACTCCTTAATCTGTGGTGGTACACATGTTGATTGAACTTCCTTGTGTAAGGCATCGAACAAGTCGTTCAGAAATTCAATCTACAACGTTCAAAAAGTAACCTATGAATTACAAAATTTTGTTGGAAAATATAATGCCACATAATTGAATTACAAACACGTGTATTGAAGTATGAATTCAATGGCACAAATTTTAACTATATTATTGTGTGAACTGCATTCGTACGGATTGTTTGGCGCTCTTTTGATGGGCATGAATCCAGAATGTGTACTTGTTTCTGGTCCATCAAAATTATAGCTAAATACCAGTGGATGCCTTCATCATTCATCATATCTTTCATGGGAAGACAAACCTTCACAGGTACGAGAAAACAATCCAATTAACTAATTAGTTTTCCGACATAATTCATTCAATAAATTAAGCAGAAGGGCAGGCATAATTCACGCGCACATATGTTGTGAAAACCGCTACTAAATAAGCAGAAATGAGAAGGAAGAGTTGTGGAGAAGTCATAACCTTTCTACAGTTATGAGCTTTTGATAGGAATTTTGTATCATATAACTCTAATACCTTTGCAGATGTCATGCCATAATTAACGACCATATCCTGGTAGGAAAATGAAGTTAAATCATTGAACACTAATCTTACTTAATAAACAACCAACCCTGTGTAAACTGAATTAGAATTACAAAGCAAAAGCAACACTTACATGCAATTCCGTAGGCAGAAAGCACACTCCTCTTCCACGACCAGTATCTCTTTTAACTTCGTCCAAGGTCAAGTGGCATGCTAACGCTGTAATGACCTAAAACACAATAGAAATAAAATCCAATGATTAAAAATCGTTAAGCACGTTCAGGTCAACTAGGGGCGTTTCGCAGAAGTACTTACATCAGCATCAACGCTTGACTCGGGGCATAAGCTCCATAATGTCTGCCTGGTATATGATTTCATCATTGTTTTGACCAAAGCTTCATCAGGAGGAAGGTCTTCTGCAAATATATAGTGAGCAAAACTCACTTCTTCGTCACTGTAGTTGACGGCTGTAGGGAGCTCAAACCTTGTGGTACCCTTCAATCATGGAGAAGGAACAAATAGAGGAAATAAGAAGAGGTTTTCTTGAGTTTTAGGTTTTACATTTTAAATGAAAATATATAATTAATTAAAGAAGAAATAGAAGTCAAGTGGCGGAGAAAGGAACGAAGGAAAACAACGAAAATAGTGGGCGAAAAGGAAGCATATGTACATCACTAGGATTACATACCTTCATTGACAATTTTTGTGGAGGCGTGAGGGGTTTGTTTTGCACACCTAGCTCATAATGGTCCAGCCCTGGTTCAGCATCAAGAACAATCACCTTCGAGTCGGGTGTAGGTGGGGGGATGACGTCTTGCATTCTTGTTTTCTTTGCAGGAGATACATAGTTCTCCAATTCCTACAATAATGAACAATCAAGTCAGAATAAGTTTTGTATAAATAACCTACTATTAAAGCTCCTGGACGAACCATAGACTTGGCTAGAGAACGCGTTAGGCGTACAGTAGACTGGCCGCTCGTCATCTTGTTCTTCTCCCTAATATAATTGTACAAAAAAGCAACGAGAGAGTGGAATATAAGAACAAATACAACAAAATAGCTGACTAAAAAGTTAAAGAAAACACATTAGCGAATTGCAGAACTTACCCTTCCTTCTCCATAATGTTACAGACACAATGTTGACCAAAGGGCCTCTGCGCTACTTTTAGTTGAATGAGTTTTGGGCAAGATGTTTGGCCATATTAATAGATGCGCCAGAGGGGTGTTTAACCTCGTGTATTAGGAAAACCCGTGAGATATCAATTAGAGTTTTTTTATATGTGGGAACTTCTATATTTATCCACCTCATTAAATGAACTTAATAAGGAATTAACTAGTTACGTGTGAACTTCTACATTTATCCACCTCATTAAACCGATTAGGGGCTTCATTTTAGGGTTTTAAGGTTCGAAAAGACAAGACCACGAAAGCAGATGGAAGAAGGGAAGAAGACGATGCCAGTTTAACCTCCCTTGGTTGGTTGTGGCTCCGCCAGTTTATGAATTCACGTTTGGCCCATTTTCAACCAATCAATTAAGAGTGATCTAGGCTTCCCGCGGCAGAGCACCAAAGCTCTGTTTCTTTCTTCGTTCCAAAACCGGAAAACAGAGTAAGCAGTGAAACCCAGAAATATAAACACAAGAACGGAGTATGAATAAGAGCGGAAATGTAAATGAACACATGAAATATAAAAATGAAAAACGAAGACAAAGACTCAAACTCAAGAACAAAGAAGAAATCCCGGATCCACATCCTCAACCTCCTGTACAAATAATAACTTCTTACAATGCAATGAGAAAAACATCCAAATGGCCAAAGAGTTTCCCATCTATACATGGCAAACTCACAAACATGATTGAATGTTGGGAAACTCTTTAGCCACTTGGAGTTCTCCTCATTACCGTAACTTGATGCAAATAAGGTTGGAGGAAGAACTTTAAGGAATTTCAAGTTTCATTTGCTGCTTCCATGATTTTGAAGGAAGAGGGGACTGCGGTTTATATAGGCTGTAAGGGGATAAAATCTTATCAACATACAATCTCCTACAACCAATGACAAAGGGCAGAGTAAATGGTGATAGGATTTTCAAATATGAATGATGCTTTTGGTGACAGGTGTGCTTCTTTGGAGGGGCCACCTGGTGCAATTGATGCTTTTGGAGTAGGTGTCCTCCATTTGAGGGACGACAGGCTTGGTTATGCGAACCAAGGAGGTTATTTAGACCCACTAGTTTTATTTAAATAGGCCAAAACGAATTCAGTCCAGCCCATGGATGTTTTGACCCAAATTGTTCTGTTAAAAACAAGGATTTAATTTCACAGCTTATATACAACATCCTTTAGGTTTTTCATAGTGAAGCGCCAGCGGAGAGGCTAGTTCCTTAGTACTACTTTGGCTACTTAGGGTTAGTTGGCTTGGACAATCACAAGCGCGACGATCATGGAAGACGATGAAATCGTGGAAGTGGAAAACAATGAAGATATTAACAACAGTAACGGTTCAACTATTCACAACGTTCACCAAAGTTCAGAGGTAGAAGATGATGATCTTGCCGATCTCTTACTTCTGCAGCAAGAAGATATCGAGAAGCTAAGATTCGCTAACACTGAAGAAGCCTATGATTTTTGGAGGAACTATGGGCTGGTCACCGGCTTTGATGTCAGGAAAGAAGATATTGGCCGAGATAAAGACAAGGTCATGATATGGCGTCGGTTTGTATGTTCTGGTCAAGGAACAAAGCGCGACCGAAAGGGTGAACGAAAGAGGGAACCAAAAGGAGAGACGAGATTTGACTGCAAAGCTAGGATTCGTGTACGACTAGACAAGTCAGATGGGAAGTGGTTTGTGGATACCTTTCATAACGTGCACTCTCACGTAACGGTTCCAAAAACATACCGACACTACATGAAAGGGAATCGACAGTTGAGTGATGCAGTTAAAGCAGCAATCAATTTCCGGAGAGCTGCAGGAATGAAAACATCACAGATTGTTTCACTAGCGGTTGCAGAGGCAGGAGGCTATAGCAAGATGGGGTTCACGAGGAAAGATGCGTATAATTACGTGGACAATGATCGGAAGGAACAGATTAGTGATGGTGATGCTGCGACAGCACTAGCTTACCTACAGGCGAAACTAAGTGCGGATGAACAGTTCGTAATTGAGCTAAAAAAATACGATGAAGACAGGCTTGTTAACTTGTTCTGGGCAGATAGTATTTCAGTGGCTGATTATGCATGCTTTGGAGAATTATTGGCTTTCGATGCGACTTACAAAAAGAACGTCTACAATATGCCTCTAGTAATTTTTTCAGGTACTAATTCTTTTATTTTCGGTTCATAGTAACTTATATTTTCATTCCTATAAAGTATAAAGAATTTATTCATTGAAACTTAATACCACACGTTAAAGAGCCTAATGCAATATCACTTCCATGCGTTATGGGTACAGTGTAATTCTTGTCTTATTAGTGAAGTAATTTTAATAACCTGTTTATTTTTTAAGTGTGAACCACCACTTCAACAGTTGCATATTTGGATGTTCATTTTTGGCAAATGAGAAAGAAGAAAACTATGTATGGGTTCTAGATGCCTTGAGGAGAAGGTTGGGCGGTGTAGATCCTAAAACTGTTGTTACAGATGGAGATAAAGCCATGCGCAATGCGATTCAGCAAGTATTCCCCGATGTGACACATCGTTTATGTGCTTGGCACATAGACAAAACTATTGCCAGAAAAGTGAGGGACAATCCTAACTTCTTGCCACAATGGAAACATTTCGTGTCAGCTGATTGGGAACCTTCAGTATTTGAAGATAAGTGGAAAACAATGGTCGAGGAGTGCTCACAGCAGCATAACAATTGGGTTTCACATCTATTTGACCAAAGAACTGAATGGGGGTATACATACTTGCGCTCAAAGTTCTTTGCAGGCTTGTCAACAACGTCTAGATGTGAAGGAATGAACTCTCAGCTTACCAAGTATATCGAAAACAATCATAATCTACTTGAGTTCTTTATTCATTTTGATCGTTGGGCTAGGGATATGAGGGAGATGGAGCAACAAGCTGATTTTGAGTCCATCCATCGTGAACGGACAATAACGTCTAATATATTAGTCTCACTTCAGAAGAGTGCGTCTAAATTATTCACAAAAGAAGCCTTTTTCAAATTCAGAGATGAGGTTGAAAAGTCGGGAGCTTGTGTAAGGATGGATTCAGAGATATCGGAAAACCAACGCATTTACAGAGTGACAATGTCAGGTAAACAAAAGGTTTTTCAGGTCACATACACAATTGAGCCCTTCGCTATGGAGTGTAGTTGTAACTATTACCACTATATGGGAATACCATGCGCTCATATGGTTCATCTACTGAAAGAAGAGGGTATGCTGGAACTTCCAGAACGGTTGGTAAAGTTAAGGTGGTCAAAGAAGCCGAAGACACTTGATAGCTTACAACAACCACACAATATGGACGAGGCTAGACTATTCACATTCAGGTTCGTAGTTACTGTATAAAGCTGGAAATTGTGTGTTACTGTGTTTAAGAAAGCAGTTCAGATGTGTTTATTAAATACTAAGGTGGTACCAGAGGGCGTTGACTCGTTTTAGAACATAAGCTTTCACTTTTTCGTGACGTTTTAATAGAATAATATTGAATGTGGTTTTCAGATATGGGCTTCTTCAACAAAGCAGCTCTCAGTTATGGTTAAAAGGGGCAAAATCAAGCGAAAGCTTCAACCTTGCTCGTACAGGAATTGCATCCCTATGTGAATCGCTAGACATGATGAACGAAGGTGATACTGAGATCCCATATACTAATAGACCAAAGGCAAAAGAGAAACTTTTGGATCCACATCCTGTGAAATACAAAGGTTCGAGTGGACAAGAAAACAAAAGGAAGAAAGGGGAGCAACGAATGTGTAGCAGATGTGGCGTATTGGGTCATAAAAAAAGCACTTGTAAGAAGCCTCCTGATTATGTGAGGCCTACAATACCAGAACCTACTGATACTGAAACTAATGATGGAGCTGCTGGCCACACAGTACCAAATAATGAAGAACCAAATAGTGAAAACATCGCCAACAACGGAGCTGACCAGCAAGCACCACAAATTGGCAGAAAACCAAAACATTGCAGTAAATGTGGGAAGGATACTCATAATGCCAGAACTTGTCCAGAGTTATCAGAGGAGGATACTGAAGAGGATGGTGATACAACCGACATCCCTGATCCACCAACTGTAATACTAGAATACTTTTGGGAAACAATTATTTTTGTTGGAACTAAACTTTGTACATTCAATGTTGCAGAAGAAGCCATGTACTAGAAGGGAAGGCCTGAGGAGCAGCAAGAAGGCTAGTTGAAAATATTGGCATGGATTCTAATAACCGGAGACACATTTCGAATCTGGCCATTTGTTTGATACTCTATGGACGAGTTAGAATATTTGATTGGAGGACGTTATGATGTTTTTTTGGGTATTTTCATACTTTCTGGTCCTGGTTGTTCATGTTTTAGGTTCATTAAACTGCTTTTCCAATCAACAATGTATGCCTCTACTTTTGCTGGTCTAGATTATTTTTGTGTTCAGTTCATTATTCTTGTTTTCATTAAGACCTAGCAAACCAAGAAAGGGTATACTTGAAACTTACCGGTGTGCATAAGCGGAGTGGCCCATCTGTCCTCTTCTTAGAAAACCACTGCACGCCCATCTAGCCAAAGAAGGAAACATAAGGAGTGCCAAATCCAAAAATTCCAATTTAGACATTATGATTTGAACCAATTATAAACTACAAACTGAACATTATGAAGTATAAGAGGAACAAGATACCTTTCTAGCTAGCTTAACAAGTGCAACCACAACATCATAAACATCAGTCTCATTTAACAACTCCTTTTCAACATGTTATTTAGCTCCACATGCCTGCACAACAGGTCTATAGTCAGTAACCAATATTCAGATACAATGTCTTCAACCACATGTGCA